TTTTACTGAACCCGTGAATTAGATAGCGGATTACTACGCAGTTTTGCTCTTCAATGTCATCGTTTCCTCTTGTTTACTTGTAACTATTTGGCACGATTCGTTAGATAATGTTTTAAGGATTAAGTAAAATCACTCCAGAAAGGGTTTTCTAAAACACTTGCTAAATTCGGTTTTTAACAACCAGCCCTAATTTTTTTGTTTGGTTTCTCTCGAACTTTCTCCTTTGAGCAATTCTTTTTTCCCATATTTAGGCCGTAGTCAGCTGAATCTTTCGGCGCACTTCTAACAGTCTTACCGCCTTTCTAGGTGATATTTTTTATCATAAATTTGACTAGATTGAAAACATCCGCTTAATTAAAATAAGTGGACATTTACAGGTTCCGTTTGTCGCAAAGCATAAATTCCATCACTATGCAAGCGTCTCTTCTTCAAAACATGGCGAAAAAATGGAGGTTGAATCCGGACACCAGCCCCGAACAAGATGAATAATAAATAGTCAACACATGTTTATGGGTTTTCGCTCCACTAATCTGCAGGTTTCTACAGGAACCCGTTTTTTCTTTAACAGAGGAATGATAAGTTATTTTTAGCGTTCTTTTGGTGAAGACAAATATGTTTTACATATTCTGACGGGCCGATAAATTTTGTTTCCTTGAAAATGACCGAGTTGAAATTATATGAAAGCACTTATTATTCTTTTACACTTCAAATATTATTTGCAGGGTTCACTCAAAAAGGTTAAAGATTTTGATTTTTAGACCTCGCTTTTATAATAACTTTTAGTTACTTCTACATAAAATAAATGAACTAAATTCTCCTAGAAGCTTTTGAGCTGGTGAGAACGGCCGTGGCATAAACATAAGCAAAAGCTAAAGAAGAACGCACGGTTTTGATATTCTTGTGTTCAGGATTCTTACAGGATTCTTACGGATCATGAAAAAACCTGGAAAGTCATGAAATTAAAAACTTTCATTTTCCAGTCCTGGAAAGTCATGCAATTTAATTGTTCGTCATGTAATGTCATGGAAAATTAAAGTTTTATTTGGTAGATCAGATTTGGCAGATGTCAAAGCAAGGACAATACAAGATCGACACAAGTAATTAATAGCGCGAACAGCAGGCGTTTTGGTGTACACCAGAGTTTGTGTCTGTTGAACTGTCAGTTAAGTCAAAAAATATCCTTAAACAAGGAAAGTCATTGAAAATTTTCGAAAGTAACAGCTAGACCTAACGTCGTGGAAATCTTGAAAAGGTCATGGAGAGTCTTGCAATTTGAAGTCCTTAAAAGAGTACAAACCCTATGTTTACGCTTGTGTCAATGCCGTCTTCAATAGCGCATAAGCCCTTTATGCTCATGCTTATCTTTGCGTTGCCAGTGAGCTCACTGACTTTCAAAAGCAGACAAAACGAGAAAGCTTTCCAGTACCTAAGGGCGCTTTAAGTTAAAGGAAATAAAAGTAATAGATCAATAGCATATAAAAATATGTTCTGCCAATTATTGACGACTTGCAGTTCTTGTATTTTTGGCGCCTGTGTTGGTTTTTGAGTTCAATGCCTGTTGTTGTCTTAGGTCATGACAGATGTTGTTGGAAATCCTGAGGAAGAGCGGCGAGCAGATTTCTTTCATCTTCCATGGTCACAAGAGGCCGTTTGCCGCTACTTCTACGGCAAGGTATTACCTCTGGTTTGGAATTGTTATCTCTTTAAGAAGTGGCTTAGGTCAAACTGAAAGAAAAGTTCTCAATTTTATTTCGCAAATTTTTCAAGAAATTACCATTTCTGGATTTTCTGGAAAGTTCTTGGTATTTGATGTTGACGGGTGATTGTGTGTGCTAACATGGCGGATTATTAGGTCACTCCCGGCCACCATCAAGCTAGTGTGAACGCGACACTGTTAAGCGAGCGTATGAGTGGTACACTGGCACTCTCGCGTTAGTTCGTAACGCATTGATCTAATACTTATGATAGTGTGCTTACGCAACGGGACGGTAGAAAGAAGACGACGGCAAAACGCTTGTGTGTGACGAACGTGACAGGGCTATTACTTGCGACTTTGCCGTGATCCTCACTTAACAATACTGTGTTACGGTCCTCTACAAAAAGATCTGTTTAAAGGAAGGTCAAGTTTGGAGAATAACTTTTTCAAGCATAATTGTTGTCACTATTGTCACACAAGGTTTGCCGTCTTCTTTTCCCCGTCGTTTGGCTAAATATTTAACATTTAGGGCGGATTTCCACAGTCACGTAATTTGGACGTGCGTACGCGCTTAAATAAAATAGAGGCGATGTTTCAAAGGTCGCGCGAAAACGCCCAAGTTAAGCGAAGTTCGATAATGGAATTCGCTTTATAACTGGCCTGGGGCCCGTTTCTCGAAAGTCCCGGTAACTTTTCGGGCCCGAAATCAAATATTCAAATCAAAATATAGAGAATAAGAGCGCGAATCCTGGCTAGCAGACTACTCCATTTTGTTTCACTAACTGATAGTTTTATCATGCTAGATGCAAAACTTTTGAAACCTCTATCTTTAATGTAAACGGAGAAAGCTTACCGGGCCCGTTAATTATCGGGACTTTCGAGAAACGGGCCTCAGGTCTGTTCAGCGAGTTCTTACTAATGATAAACGCAGACAATCTGAAGGTGATGTTACACGGAACAATTCGCAACGACGATTTTGAGCATAACACAGCTTTGCAATGTTTGAACAATGCTGTAACCATTTGAAACAATATCGCAACAATGTTGCAACGCTGTGTTGCGCTAAAACTCGTTGCGAATTGTCCCGTGTGACATCACCATTAAGAGTTCTGGCAAAACCCTTTAATTGACTGTTATAGCATGAGCTTTAAAACAAGTGTTATCGTTTTTGTCCTAGGTTCAACAAAAACGTGCTGAGTTAGAACAAGCCTTGGGTATCAGGGGAACATAACTCACAGATAAGAGTTTGTTATATCTGGTAAATTTTCACTTGCCGATCACGTGCTCACGTGCGACGGCTGATTTGTACCTTGTACCAGTATATAAGCTGCTGTCGTTTTCTGGAAACTGTCATATCTTGATTTTCGTTTCGTTATCTCAAGTTTGTATCTTAAGATCTAAACAAGTATCAAATAGGAATAAAAATTGCTCCAAATATCTCAGTTGGTAAATTTAATTTTACGGTCTATGTACTTCAACTGGACTGGTGATCTCTTAGTTTTCTATTCTTTTCCTCCGTTATTTCTCTTGAACATTCAAACACAAGCGTATGGAAAGTTTATTACTAGAAGTCACTTCTTGGTTGTAGATATTTAGAGAATCCTTCAGTTTCTCAAATTTGGAATGCTTCCGCTTCATACAAACGGCGTTTTACGGCTGTTCGTCTTAAATTTGAATTAATTGTTGGTTGTCTCTTCACCTCCCCGGCGTTTCATTTGATTGTTTGTCTGTTTGTTTTTGTTGGTGGTGGTGGTGTTTTCATCTTTTGCCAATTGTTTTCGTTTATGCAAAAACAAACCGTGAATCTGTCTGTATGGTGTACGTAATTTGAACTCATCAGAACAATGTGATAAGTTTCTTCAGTAGTATGGCTAAACCGACTTCGTTCCACTCTAACAAATCACCAAATAGAGCGATAAGGAACTTTTTGAGGGCCGCACAGTCTCACCTTTTCTCTCAATAAATCACAGGTAAAAACAAAACCAATGACGCCTTGCACGCGTTTCCCGCGTTTGACGATCGCAACATGTAATTGCCTCGCCCTGATTGGTTCATTTTATTTTAAGGCGGCTCGAACCTGCTGCCTTTTTCAGCAGGAAAAATTTGACCGATTTTTATGATTTTGGGCTTCCTTAATAAAAAAAATTGTGGAACTTTAAGAAAATCGTATTTATTATCTTGTAGGTATAAAACGTTTGAGATATCGGCATATATTTCAAACCGCATTTTTACGAAAAATGTAAATAACTTCGAAATCCTACGACAGATCTTTTCCTATACTAACTTCAGGAAATAAACCTCAGAGCTCTCTAGTTCTATATCTGCAAGTTCAAAGTAAATCATGACCATACAACTCGCCGCGCAAAATGCTGGTCGAATTTCACCTTAAAATGCTACGCTAACACATTTGTGAAAGTTGACGCACAAATAGACGAAGAGTGCCCACGGACTATCTCCTATCTGCAAGGGTACTCCTACCCAAAGTTTTATTGCAAGAAACTGAATAATAAGAAAACCTTCGGCGAATACAGTTAGTAGTACAGGAAGAGCAACTTTATGCTGAATGCGGGGTGAGATTAAAGAACTTCTTCTTCTTGAATCAGCTCAGTTTTGGTGAACGCAATTGCTTTGATAGACTCGCTTCCGGGGGAAAACAATCTTTTTTTTCACTCCTAACCTTGTTTCTACAGTCGACTCCCGATAATTCGAACCTTCAAGGGAAATAGAAAAAAGGTCGAGTCATCGGGAGTTCGAGTTATCGAGGGTAAAATTGTATAGAAAATGATCTGAAGGGAAATGAAAATTACTTGGAGTTAGCGGGAGGTTCGAGTTATAGAGGGTTCGAGATTACGGGAGTCGACTGTAGTTTTTTAATTGCGAGGCTTGTCGTGCAAAATGGTTTGTTTTCATGCAAAATGGTAGTCACGTGATATTGTTCTATTGGGTTTGTGACACTTATTAAAGTTAGCTACTGTAAGTAACGCTGTGAATGCTACTTATAGTGATTAAAAACAATCAGAAGTGAACTGAGTTTCGATATAAGTTTTTTTCCAAAGTGCGCAAATACAAAGTAAAACCAGAACGCGTTTTTAATCAAACAAAGCGAACATTTTTTTTATTTCAATATTCCTCACGCTTACACACGCCTACGAATGAACCTTCGGCAATTCGCTAACTTCCGCTTCCTGTCTCATTTGTACAAAGTAATACAACAAAAAAAATCCACTGAAAAAGTACTTTACGAAGGCTAGAGATGGAGTAATTTGTAAAACTCGAGCTAGTGCTATCCACATCACGTGGTCGTTTACTTTCTGCCGGAGCAGCACGCGGTCGGGCAGGAAGATACGCATGTGTGGGCACAGACGGGTGGGCAGGGAGGGGGTGGTGGTGGAGGAGGAGCAGGTTCTCCTGGGGGTCCTGGAGGTCCTTGGGGTCCGGGTGGTCCTGGAGGTCCGGCCTCTCCCATGGGTCCGATAGGTCCGACTGGTCCGGGAGGTCCCATTCTTCCAGAAGGTCCGGGTGGTCCAGGCTTAGCGGGCTCTGGTGGGGGTGGTGGTGGGGGTGGAGGCGGTGGTGGAGCGGGTGGGGGAGGTAGACAGCAGGACACCGCGCACGCCGGTGCGCAACCGGGGGAACATCCTGGGGGACACGGATTAGCGTCTCTTTTGTTTTCTGCGGTGAAAAAAGATGGCAAATTAGCAGGTACAGAAAGCTTTGACAAGGCAAAACAAGATTTGACACGTGAATCAATCCTTTTTTCTTTTCTTTCTCAAATTTACTGTTTCGACACCGATCAGGCATCCTTTCACGTAGACAAACGAAAACCACCTGTCTTAACCTTATCAATATTCATAATCTCTTCACATATCTCCAGACATTTCATATTTTATCAGTAAGCAGAAATTGTGTGGAAATCGTGACAAGCCAGTTGTTTAAACAGAGTCTAAACTCATGCCGCCTTTTCAGACAACCGATTCTTCTACGGACCCGTTCATGGCTTTTACAAGTGTGCTATATGCTCTTTTGACCCTGATAATTTTTAAAACAGGCCAAATTACTTAAGTAAGAGTGATTTTACTGAACCCGTGAATTAGATAGCGGATTACTACGCAGTTTTGCTCTTCAATGTCATCGTTTCCTCTTGTTTACTTGTAACTATTTGGCACGATTTGTTAAAAAATGTTTTAAGGATTAAGTAAAGTCACTCCAGAAAGGGTTTTCTAAAACACTTGCTAAGTTCGGTTTTTAACAACCAGCCCTAATTTTTTGTTTGGTTTCTCTCGAACTTTCTACTTCGGGCAATTCTTTTTTCCCATTTAGGCCGTAGTCAGCTGAATCTTTCGGCGTACTTCTAACAGTCTTACCGCCTTTCTAGGTGATATTTTTTATCATAAATTTGACTAGATTGAAAACATCCGCATAATTAAAATAAATGAACATTTACACGTTCCGTTTATAGAAAAGCATAAATTCCATCACTATGCAAGCGTTTCTGCTCAAAACATGGCGAAAAAATGGAGGTTGAATTCGGACACCAGCCCCGAACAAGATGAATAATAAATAGTCAACACATGTTTATGGGTTTTCGCTCCACTAACTAGCAGGTTTCTACAGGAACCCGTTTTTTCTTTAACAGAGTAATGATAAGTTATTTTTAGCGTTCTTTTGGTGAAGACAAATATGTTTCACATATTCTGACGGGCCGATAAATTTTGTTTCCTTGAAAATGACTGAGTTAAAATTATACGAAAGCAGTTATTATTCTTTTACACTTCAAATATTATTTGCAGGGTTCACTCAAAAAGGTTAAAGATTTTGATTTTTAGACCTCGCTTTTATAATAACTTTTAGTTACTTCTACATAAAATAAATGAACTAAATTCTCCTTAGAAGAAGCCAGATATGATATTAGTGCAGTATTGCTATGAAATCGAGAAACATTTTGGCTAATGATATCATCGTGATAAAAAATCCCAAGCTTTGCGCTCTAGAGATCAACAGAAAACAAACATTTCAAGGTTGATCGCTCGAACGCAAATGTAGGTGGTGGTTATTCATTATTCATTGTTAGCTAAGCAAGATTCGATCCCTTAGTTCAAAGAAATTCTTGGAAATATTTTGCACTACTAAGTAAGTAAATGTAGCTCACTATTCATGGCTCGTATACTTTTAAAATTATGATGGTGGCAAAATGATTTCTTTTAACCAGGAAGGCATGTTTCATAAATGCCCGAAACCTTGGAACCATTTTTTAAGACTATCAAACTTATATGTGGTAAAACTAATCACGATTAAGCTATGATTAAAAACTAAATTAGAACATAACAACTTACTTGATTTTGCGTACGTTGAGACCACAAGGAGTGCTAAGCACCCTAGAATAAGCTTAGATGCCATCTGCAAAAAGAGCAAGATATGTTTGAGTTTGCTGTAGGGCTAATTAAATAGTATAAATTGCGAAAAATGCCTTAAATGTCTCTCTTCCCCTGGAAAAAAAAAAATTCGCATAAAGCTGATTGCGCTTTCGCTACCTCAAATCTTATTGATACGACCGACGGTTATATCGTAAAAAGTCTAAAACAAAAGAACCGTTGATCAATTTTGTGTAAGTGAACAATATCTCGAGCTTTTAATCCAAAAAATTATTAAATTTAAGAGAAGTATGTATTCAGCTTTGCTAACGATAAATCTAAAAGAACATTTTTGTGGAAATTAATTGTCAGTAACGACTCTTACCTCTGGATCTCAGCTAAGTGATCGTTGAAATGTGCTTGAAAAAGACTGTTTTCCAATTTATATCTTTAAGTCATTAATTAAACACAATTCTAGACGTGTAATAGCACGGTCCAAATTTTCTATTGTTCTCTCCCTCATTGTTAAGTGGTGAAGAATTTTACACAGCTATAACATTGACGCATGCGCGTTACTAGGTATTAGACCGGGTTGAAAATGGCGGCCGTGGCAAACTAGTTCAAAGCGCGCGGATTTGTGCCGACCATTTACAGATCACATTATATTTTCCGTGGTCTCATTTTAACGTCGCGTATTTTTGACAATTGAATCTAAGTTTATTCTAAGAAATGAAAAATTTTTCATCTTAAAAGAACCTGTCTGAGCTGAATTATTTACAAGTTTCAAACCCAGCGAATCGTTGAATAGCTTTCCTTTGTTTTACGGTTTGTTACGATTTCCTCCTAGGAGAAAAACAGGTAGAACATAACTGGCACCATTATTCTAGCAAACAACTGAGCAAGTGGTCTTTTATTTTCGTGTTGACGCTTCGCTACACTGGCCAAAAAACCCGTTCCCGAATTCTCACTCCGTTGGTTTTTCGTTCTCGTATCGCTGCTTTTGGGGGGAAGAATTAAGCTAAAGCTACTTGTTTGGATGAAACTGAGTTTTGAAACCTATTAACTTCTACAAGATTCACATCGTAATTTCCGCACTCTGTAATACGTTTTGATTTTTTTTTTCGTTAAATTTTGTTTTGATCGAACACAGGCTATCAGCTTCTTGTTTGATGTCAGTGATTATTTCTAACCTTAGGGGGTTAGGGTGGGGCTTAGTTTGGACTAACACTGGAAAAGAAAACAAGACCAGAGAAACGAAGAGTTAAAGTTAACGTAGCTCTAAGCTTAATCTGGAGTTCGATCAGTGAAAACGTTGGACTTCACTTCTGTTGTTTGCAAAGGTAGGCCGGCTGAAATTTGTGGCAGATCCTAACTTCATTTTTGCGGCCAAATTATCCGTTGACAAGCTATAGATCGTGTGAATTGTCAGGTATACAATATGAGGCTAAGAAAAGTCAAAGATCGAGGACAAAGCACAAAGCTAAAGAGATTGCAGTGGAGCCTGGTAAAAGTGAAAGACCGGGGCGGCCATAACTTTGAAAGCTGCGTTAGTCCGTGATGTTTGTGTCAGTCAAATTACAGCATCGTTCAAACTTGTGATAAGTTCAGTTTGTCGACGTTACGTTCATGGGCACTTATCGAGCCAGCCTTACGGAGTACTTGAGAAAATCATGCTTATCCTTTGTGTATTTGGTTTGCAAGAGAGTTTTTTTTCTGTTTTCACTGCTTGGGTTCCTTATGTGGACGGGAAGATGTCTCTAAAACAAGGGAAGTCTATTTCTTATAGGTTCATTTTCATCGCCAGTGTCCGTAATTCTTTCTTTGTATTCGTTGGCTATGGTGATGAGGATTGCTCGTCTACCGAGTGAAAATCACAGGGAACATTTTATTTAAAAAAAAAAAAAAACAGGTCAAGAAAATTTCCATTACACAATAGTATTTCCGTAAATTACTGGAGCCTGTTTAAGCTTGGCTGAAAAGGACAAATTATCCTCTCTTTAACAACGAAACTTTTTCAATTCTCCAAAAGATCATTTAGCCGATGAATGATTTTTGAGACTTTGTTTATAAGCACCTTTACACTTACGGCCGTTTTTGGTGACCCTGCGGGACTTTGACGGGAATTTTGGGGTATTTAACGTCCACCGGGAAAACCAGGCAATTCTTAGATGCTTTTCAACGATGCAGATGCTTTCCTTGGATTTTCTCAAGTTCAAGCAGCACTGTATCTTGTGGACTGCCTTCACTTCAGGATCTCAGACTAACGTTATGAAAATGTAATTAAAACAGACTCTGCTCTAACAGGTTTAGAATAACCTGCGTAGCAGGCGCTTGGAATGCGAGAAAAAACGGGGTCGCGCGACGAAGACACGCGAGGGGAGCGTCCTCTCTTCTTACGTGTTTTCCTCGCGCCCATTGCGCGGGCTAGTTTAAAATCGCGCTTATATCAAACAGCAAACGTCAATTTGTACCACGTGATCAAGTTTCCCTGTACCTCCACCAGAACAGCTGTTTGTCAATTTCTATCCATGAATTTTTTTTTGCACAGCGTTTATGTTTCATTTTAGTTCATTTATATATATATATATATTTTGACAGATCATCAACCTGAATCTGGCGTTTGCCGTTTGTGTTTTACCAGATTCTAAAACTCTCTGTTATTATTTGGCGAAAACATCGCCGGTGGGTGCGCTTGTTTTGTTTTATAAAAAAAATGACATAACTATACCCGTTAACTGAAAAATAACTTGAGATTAAAGGAAAAGCCTAAATAACAAACACTCTGATATATTTTTCAAATAAATGGGCCTTTTGTGGCAGCAAAACGTCGCTACGTATATCCCTTGGCCACGGTTAATTTTGTGTAACGCACCACATGTACTAGATAACGGTATTACTTTTTTCGTAGTTTAAAAAAAATGAAGGAAAGTAACATTGAAATACTGTCCATAAAATACATAAAATACTTGTTAATGACGGAGCTAATGTGACACATGCGTGAATCATGGAACGAGACCCTAAATGGCTGACATGGCTTAAGAACTTTCCCTTTCATTTTTTGCAAACAACCTAAAAATTAGGAAGAGTTTTCCTAATTTTTGTTAACTCAAAAAAAGTATATGGTAAAATGACGCTCAAACATTTATTGAATAATCACACTTTATGATTTCGCTCACAACGTTAACAGTTTTAGTTAAAACTATTTACAATATAATGCAATGCTTACAATGTTCGTAGAAAAAAAGTTATTGGACTAGTTCATTTACGAAGACTATAAGAAAAGAAAAGCATCTTGGAAAAGCTTAGACTAAATATTTCACAGTCTGCAATTAATTCAGTTTTGCCTTGTCTTTATTGTTTCAGTCAAAAAATATTTCTCAGTCGTTGCAAGAGCAATTCAAAAAGAAGAATGAAAGAGAATTCGCTCGTAATCGAATTTTAACAAACTTTTTCGTCATTTCCACATCGTTCCCTGATACATACTGTTTGCTTCGTAATTTTACTACTATGACCAGAATCCTTCAGGCGTTTGCTTTCTTGTGCAAATGAGGGCTTTTCTTACCTGAACCTCGCGCGCTGGGATCACCAAATTTAAATATGAAAGGAAAAACGAAGAGAATTTGGTCGAACTATTGAAAAGAAAGTTTGTTAGGAGTGGTGGTGGTGGTGGTGGGGGAGGGGGTGGGTGAGGAAGTGCCGGCGAATAAATTTGTTAAAAATGACCCAGAAATAGTCCCCTTTAGGGGCTCGCGGACGTGGGATAACATGCAAATGATTCTGGGGATAAAGAATTGCTATAAAAAGGAAAAAGGGAAATGAGGAAAAAACATCTTTTTGTTATTTGAAGTATCACTGTCTTAAAATTATAGACATGATCAAGGGGGAGCACCACCATTCCCCGGCCACTACACCCTTTCCAGTCACCTTCTTTCCGCGTCCCCTTCGCAGCCGCTCGGGCTGGAGTCACGCAATGCTTCCCGTCACGTGGGGACGGGGAGCATTGCGTGACACTGCCCGAGCGGCTCGAAGGAGACTACAAATGTACTTCTTTCCTCACTTGACTAAGAATCAAATTCCAACAAAGTGACTATTTAGATAAAATCCCTCCAACAGTACTTTCCTCTGCAATCTTTTTATACGCTGTAAAAGGCGTGATTCTCTGAAGATTCTGAAGATGAAATACTTAAGTCGACTTTTTGCAGTACTTTCCTGTGGTATCTATTTTAATCCTGTCGGCGTCTTGTCTTATTTTTAAGTCTGTGCATATAACCCTAAAGTGTGTCCATCTTGAAGAATTAAAGCTACTGAGAAGTTCTCTACTATGGTGCTATAGTTTATTAAACTGTATAAGGTGCTTTCAACTTTAGTCAGTCTGGATACATTTTTAAGTGGTCCCATTTGAAGATTGTTTTAAATCTGTGAATTATATCTTACAGTGTGACAATTCAAATGGCAGCTTTATAGCAGTGTGAATCTGACACTATTTTGAAGTATTTTATTTTGGGACTCGAGGGTTCGCTTTTTTCAAACAAAATTCCCTCTCCTCGATCCCATCTCCGCTTAAACGTTTTACTTGGCTGTATATGATGAAATTCGTCTTTTTTTCTAAAGCGCTTTTCCTAACAGTCCTTTAAAAGATCATTACAATATGTTTTCTTTCTCTTTCAGTTTTGGTTTGTCGCTTTTTTTGTATCAATAGGCTCCTAATGATGCTGTTTTCGCTCGTAGTTCAGTTTCCTCCGAGTACTGTTCGGAATGACGAAACAAACTAGATTAAACTATTTACATGCTGATCTACACTCCCAAGCATTCTTTTTTAACAACAACTGCCTGTCAAGTCTTTCCTCTGTCACGGCAATATCCGGCGGTTTGTCTTCGATCTTGCGGCTCATTAGCACTTCCCGAATTTATTCAATCAAACAGAACAGGTGCACAAAGAACAATCAAAATTAAACCGAGAAGCCCTGGTTTCGAGACTCGCCCCACTCCATTGTTATGATTGTCTCGGTTTTGTTCCTTAGAATTTGCGATGGTCTTAGAAAAGTTTAACAAGCGTGGATAGTAAAAGTTCCAAAACGCCATCCGCTGTGGTTCAAAGTTAGTCTGCATTTCAGGATTTTCCTGGATCAGTAAATACGATTTGTGGGTCCTGTTAAACTGATTCCATGTCACCCCGTGTAGGGCGGAAGGCGTGGGTATTCCGTCTTTGGCAAAGTTTGCATAAAGTGACATTATGAAGCTGCTTACATTTCGATCTTCTTCGGTAAAATTCAGCGAGGATATGTTCAAAAACGGTGCTCCAAAGTCATAAGGGGTGTTCGCTCCGTGTCTTACGCCTAACCAAGCTTCTGCGCTGCTTCGCTTAGATATGTGAGAAAACTCGTACATGTACGTGGGAGCTTTCTGGCTATGAATTTCTAAGACCTTCAATGTAGGGGCTGCTACGAAATAATCTGATTGCATGTTGACTATTTTCTTAAGGAGGGTGGGTGGGTCGGGCGTTTTCGTCCATGGAGTGTACTGAAAGGTGATTGAGTCTTCTAAAAGACCAGCAGTTTTCTCGTTATTGTGGTACAAGTCTTCCTTATGGACAAAGGATTTTATACAATCTCCAAACACAGCGCTAGAAAGTTCGTTCGGTGGTATGCATTTTTGTGGAATGTTATGACCAGCCTCGTCGCTATTAAAGCCGCCAATCAGAGGAACAGGATGAAATTGACCAGACAAGCGGAGTTTTTCTGGTGTGTCGCATATGAAATGGTTATCTATGACGGGCCTAGTTGGCCCTTGCCATTTATCAACAATTTGGCTCGTGTCTTTTGTTTTAAGACAGTTCATCATTTCCCGGTGATCTTCCGTGTTGCAACTAAGGTTTTTGGCAGTTTTTTTGGTGTTTTGAACAACTGTCTCAACAGACTGAAATGCAAATGGTGAAAGCTCGACCCCGCTCTCGATAATCGCCCTTTGAAAAAGTCCCTCAGACAGAGGGGACAATAAATGAAGCCCTACGCTGGCCCCACCTGAGCTCACACCCAATGCGGTAACCCTTTCAGGATCTCCACCGAATGCTTTTATATTTTCTCGAATCCACTTTAGGGCTTGCACTTGATCTAACATTCCCCAATTTCCGCGGGCTTCAGCATCACCAGTGGTCATAAAACCAAACGGTCCAAGCCGGTACTGAACCATCACCAAGACAACGCCAAATCGGGGAAAGACTTCTCCTGGAGTTGTATGCCGTGCTGTAGTACCGTAAACGTAACTTCCACCATGAAGGAACATTATGACTGGATAAAGCGGACTTGAATTAGTCGCGTTTTCTCGACCAGGGNTTCGTCCATGGAGTGTACTGAAAGGTGATTGAGTCTTCTAAAAGACCAGCAGTTTTCTCGTTATTGTGGTACAAGTCTTCCTTATGGACAAAGGATTTTATACAATCTCCAAACACAGCGCTAGAAAGTTCGTTCGGTGGTATGCATTTTTGTGGAATGTTATGACCAGCCTCGTCGCTATTAAAGCCGCCAATCAGAGGAACAGGATGAAATTGACCAGACAAGCGGAGTTTTTCTGGTGTGTCGCATATGAAATGGTTATCTATGACGGGCCCAGTTGGCCCTTGCCATTTATCAACAATTTGGCTCGTGTCTTTTGTTTTAAGACAGTTCATCATTTCCCGGTGATCTTCCGTGTTGCAACTAAGGTTTTTGGCAGTTTTTTTGGTGTTTTGAACAACTGTCTCAACAGACTGAAATGCAAATGGTGAAAGCTCGACCCCGCTCTCGATAATCGCCCTTTGAAAAAGTCCCTCAGACAGAGGGGACAATAAATGAAGCCCTACGCTGGCCCCACCTGAGCTCACACCCAATGCGGTAACCCTTTCAGGATCTCCACCGAATGCTTTTATATTTTCTCGAATCCACTTTAGGGCTTGCACTTGATCTAACATTCCCCAATTTCCGCGGGCTTCAGCATCACCAGTGGTCATAAAACCAAACGGTCCAAGCCGGTACTGAACCATCACCAAGACAACGCCAAATCGGGGAAAGACTTCTCCTGGAGTTGTATGCCGTGCTGTAGTACCGTGAACGTAACTTCCACCATGAAGGAACATTATGACTGGATAAAGCGGACTTGAATTAGTCGCGTTTTCTCGACCAGGGGCGAATATATTTAAGTACAAGCAATCTTCGCTAGAATCTTTCTCCCATGTAAATCCGGGCCAAGCAAGACGAATTGAGTTTAAAAAATAATCAGACTGAGATTGGGCGCAAACGAATTTGAATGAGGTCGCGTTGTATATTTCAGGCTTCCAGGAATGTGGGGGCTTCGGTGGCTGAAAGCGTAGATCTTTTATCGGTGGTGAGGCGTAGGGAACTCCAAGGAATGTGTTGACATACTTAATATGGCCGTCTTCGCTCAGGAAATGTCGGGTTTTTCCAATTATCTTCCCATATTTGGTTTCGACGATTGGTTTTCCAGAAGGGGTTGTATGCGCTAAGGAGAAGCACTCGACCACAATCACAACCACGATCAACAAGCTTTTCATTCGCATAATCCTGTTCATCAAAGATCAGAAAAACCTGTAATTAGTCTTGTTTTAAACACGTTGGATGGGATTTCACAAATAAAGAGAGCGTCGACTTTGCAATCAACTTAGGAATTCATTTCAGCCACCAGGGCACCATTTATGGCTACACATTCCACCGCGAACAATATCTGGATACGTTGGAGGGTCGCGTCTCAAAGCAGACTTTGCGTGTAACCGCATGCGAATATAATTTCGTACAACAGGGGTCAGATGTAATTTACTGTCACGACTCATTTTAATGACAACCACTCATAACGCGCCTTCGGGCAAAACTTTTCAGCTTTTTGCGATTTTCCGTATGTTGCGGTGATAGCATCTTTTTTGGCTTCCCGCGAAAAAATCAGCTGATTTGAAAATAATGCGTTCTTAACCTGAACGATGCTAATATCTCGTCTTATAAGAAGAGAATGCCCTCGCCATTAACGTTCTAAACTTCCTTCCTTTTACACATCTGGAGAGAAAATAGCTGTCATGATTTGAGACCTTTGCCCGTATAGAAAGGCGTTTAATAGGATTGATAGTGCCCTTATGAGTCCAAAGTACTCCCAGCGCATTTTAATGAAAAGCGGATGTATGCTATTAACACAAATCTTAGAAACTGCGGGAGTCCATACTTTTATCATACTCAATTGATTCCACATTCGCTTTGATACACACAGAAGAAAAAATATAATTGAATGTGAGCTAAAAGAAAAATTCATTAAAATTCCTGACCTCTTAAGTAGGCGACAATTGGAGGAAAACAAATACTCTATGATGATGGATGCATTTTTTAGTATTGAAAAATATAGTTATCAGTTTTCCTGACAGCGAGTTTTGTTCGGATTTTTGAACGCCTTAAAATTACAAAAGACTGCTTTCTTCTTAATTAAGTTAGGACTTGCGGCTCCCAAACAAATTAAAATCTAATCAAAAGAGCGAAAAAAGCCTGATCTTGTCACGGACACTGCTAATATGGCAAATAAAAAGAGAATTGGAACGGGAGCTACATCCACACGGTCTTGTCGACAAAAAAAATACACTCTAAAGTAATATAAAAAAATTGACGATTTTGAACGACAAATTTATAGCAAATTTCTATGCCTCTAGAATGTTCAGGTATTTTACTAATTTAATTTTTCCTAAGAAGATTAGAAGCATAACATAAATTTTCGTGCAAAAAAGCGTCTGAGCCGGAATACTTATGCGGATTTATGAGCATGTGGCAATCCTTGAAATATCCCCTACGTTCCTTTCAGAGAACTCGCCGAGGTCACCAAGTGCGTCTTTAAAGGTTGATTAAAAAGCAAAATAAAAGCCTGAATTTATTTAAAAGTCTGCAGCGCCACGAACCTTGTGAAATATTGTATTCATTGTATTCATTAACGTGACAATTTTAAGATAAAGGTATACCTTCATTAATTTTAATTTTCAGTTGCTCTTTCACCAAGTAAAATATCTATTGCTCTGGTAATTTTATCTGCGCGATAAAGCCATATATATAGCTGAATGTGATGACAGTTCCGTATTTATATTAGTATTTATCCTGTGCAAGGCTCTCAGATAGAAGAAAGGTCCCGAAAGATAACCAGAGAGGGAATATAAGACGCGGGGGATATGATATGGGGAAGGGAAAGGGCGTAAGGGCGCTGACGTTGTTGCTCTCTCCCCAGTCCTCGCGCGTTTTTCGCGTCACTTGTTTACTGCACGACTGCTCGTTGCACTAATATCTTGGAGCCTGGAACAGACTATGTTCAAGGGAGCCAAGGAAAATACAGGGTCTACCCGACATAGCAGTGATAAATCAAATTTAGATAGCAGTGATAAATGAAATTGGCATTTTTTTTTTAGCGTGACTCCTAAACCATAAGATTGAATATTTTCAAGTATACAAAAAATACGAGAGAGACCTTGACCTCATCAGGACTTGAGACTACTTGACTATTAAAGAGCGCTTTATCTTATTACCGTTTAGAAAACGTTTTTTAAAGAAACTATCCGACAAACATTTTGACGAGAATTTTTATCCATTTTTACCAGGGATTAAACAAAAGGACACTTAAAGTTGAAGGCAAGGCTGATCGGACAGCTTAAAGGGGTTGATAAATTACAAGGCCCTTTTTCTAGCCCCTGATGAATACTAGTTTTTTCTAGTCGAAATATTGGGCAAATAAATTTGTTAATTATCAACCCTTAACTGTCCGATCAGCCTTGCCTTCATGATCAATTTTAAGTGTTATTTTTTATTGCTGATCCTGATCTTAAACAAGATCCGGCTTTCGCTCGCTGTTGTTTGTCCAAGGTGTTTTCTTGCAAGAATTGTGCGCTAAAACAAAACGAGTTGATTAATGAAGAGGTATGATGTATGGGGTTGTAGTGGGAGCCTGGGGGGGGGGAGGTAAGAAAAGTGGGAGAGGAGGGAGCGAAGAGGGCTGGAAAACGGAGGGGAAAAGATAGCGTAAGGCGTGCTTAACAATGCTCAAGGTACTATTTGACTGAGGTTTATCTCATACCCAGATCACACTCTATCTTACGCTGAAAAGTGAGATCTCCCTCAATTTCCCTTGGCCGTGGGAGATCTGCGTATGAGATTAGGAACGAGTATCGTAGAAGGAGAAACTAAGAACTTTTCGTCTGGTTTTCGGTCGGGGTGGCGAACAACTGCCTTTTTGGCTGAATCTGTTCGTTTCCAGCTGTTCTTTTTATCGGAAGGGTGGCGAACATCAAGACAATTTTTCTGCCCTCGTGTGATCTTCCGCCACAACTCGCCGAGGTTTCGATATTGCCCTCGCTACATCCTCTTGCAAGATTTTGTGCATCTAGTCTCCGTTCCGTGATGCTTCTGCTGGCTCGAAAAATTGCTCGTTTTCAGGCAGCTGTTCAGGAAGAGCGAAGACGCTGGGTATGAGGGTGTCCCATGTGTCAATATGTTTTAGAGAGCTCAGACAAGGAACCACGGAGAATATTTGAATAGTAGCGAAAACTTCGCTAATAAAGTGAATTCGAGAAATAGAGAAAAATCCAGAGTAAAAAAATCGTTTTTCGCCCCCCTTCAGTTTTAGAACCTGCAAGTATTTCTCGGGGGTATTTCTTATCTCAAATAAAAAGTCTAACTAGACTAGGAGCAGTCTCTCTTTTTTCTTAGTCCGTCGAGCGAAACGCGGCGTTGCCGCCCGATGCTCGCGCGTGCGTGAACTCCCCTCACTGCAGTGAAGAAAGAGAGGAAAAAGAGAGCCTGCTCGCAGTCTAAATCTAACGTACTCGGACCTACTAACACAAAATTAAACCAACACGTATTGCTAAGACACGTGACCCTTTATGCCGGCCATGAGGTTTTGGGCTTCTACTATTTTTTGCTAGCCCGAAACGTCCCCAGCGGCGAAGAGCGAGGAGAAACGGATGTTTTCGCAGGCTACTTACCGCACAAATCGCCGGTCTATTTCTGGTTTGGAAAGAAGTGGTAGGGGATATGGCAATTTTTCCATATGTTTTCGAAGCGCTGCCGCTGTGAAATTCAAAGAAGATAATCGGAGTGGTACACGTATTCGCTATGTTTCCCGGATGCGTTATTACTCCATCATACAGCCACTTTTCAAGTTGAATTACTTCTTGCTGGTGATGTGGAACCAAATCCTGGCGACTCAGAAGGAAATAGTTCTCGTAGAAACTCCCAGCCAAATGGAAATAACTTTAATACCCGTAATATTATTCTACCTATAAATTCACGGAGCTTGATTCGTCTCCGGGGGGGGTACTCCCTTATAGTATTCCCTTATATAAGCCACATAGGTATGTGCAGCCCCAAAGGGTAAGGTTTTTGGGCCCTTTTGGCCGTCCGAGAACGGCTATAAACTTTGCCCATTTGGTCTGGAATCGGGTATGGTTTTCGAGAAACTACGGGAGTGTATGAACGTATTTATCGGTTCAATTCCAAATGAATAAGAACGAAATAGAAAAATGCGAATTCGAAGTACATTTGAAGAATTTTTTGTTTGCGCTCTTATCTTATTAATGACGACATAATTTCTGCCTAAAGGCCAGGGGCCCGTTTCTCGAAAGTCCCGATTATTAACAGGCCCGGTAAGCTGTCTCCGTTTACATTAGAGATCAAGATTTCATTAGTTTTGCATCTAACGTGATAAAACTACCAGTTAATGAAACAGAATGGAGTAGTTTGCTAGCCAGGACCCGCGCTCTTATTCTTTATATTTCGATTTGAATATTTGATTTCGGGCGCGAAAAGTTACCGGGACTTTCGAGAAACGGCTCCCAGGTCTGAAAACGAGTGTAGTTTTAGAAGTCTGGTCTGAAAACGGGTGTCAGGAAAATGACATTTTTTGGTTCTAAATAGTATCAGGATTTGTAGAACCGGGCAGCACATCCCCGCCAAGAATTCTCAGGAGTACCCCCCGGGGATTCGTCATATCGACGAACTGAGACTTCTTCTTAAATCCTTAAAAGACCAAGTTATCCAAAGAGGCCCAAACATTCTTCTCAATCTGCATAATTCTTCACATCATACTCTGCAGCCTCATTCAATAAGCCGTAGGTTTCTGATTACTTGGTTTCTTTCAATATAAGTTTTAAGAACAACCTTTCAGGTAAGAGATAGTATAGTCCGTGGATTAGTAGGATCGGAACCCTTCCGCTAATTGTGCGGTCAGCTTTCACTAATGTGTTAGCATAGCTTTTTAACGCTTAATTTTGACCAGCGTTTTAGGTACTAAAGAGCTCTAAGGCTTTTTTGCTCCAGTTAGAAAAAACATTTTTTTCGTAAGATTTGTTCATCGCGTGCTGGTTGTGAAGAATTAGCTGGAGGATTAAGGCAAATCGAAACGGCGAAATATTTTGAAGGAATAACACTGTAAATTATGTCGATGACTAAAGAGTCTTAATGCCTGCCTCAAACGGAAGAAGTTAAAAGTCCAGTTAAGTCCTTCCGTTCAGAATTTGACTGATATCAGATAAAGGGATACACTGTGCTGTACTTTGCTGTC